GGTAGGTTCTTCCCCTAGCGATCCTGTCTTGCTCTTCTTTTGCTTGTTTTACTGATGCCGAACTCCTTTTCGCAGGTGCGATGGACTCTCGAGGGACCTGAGGTGGGCACTTGTTCCAGGGCATGAAGAGGAGAAAACGGGTGGCTAAGCGAACTCGCGCCGAGCTACCCCAGGGTGCGGAGCCCGAGGTGCCGGACTATCCGGCGGAGGATCAGCCTATGGAACCCGAGATGGTTCCTCCTATGCAGGAGCCGGCAAGGGCTCCTTACGCCGAAACTACTCACACAAGGGCTCCCGCCTACTCCGGGTCTGCCCATACGCGAGCTGGGCCATCAGGCTCGGGGGCCCCGGGGGACTTTAGGAGTGTGTTGTCGCCTACTCACTCTCTTCAGAGGAGTAAGGAGGCCATTTTCCCCAAGGAAGTCGCGGCGTGGACCGATCTTCCTCTGCACCAAGTGGTCTGCCGTGCCGTTACCCATGCCATGGTGGTAAGTGATCTCCCTTTTTTAGAGTTCTTCGGCTTTTATGCTTCTATTCGTTCCTTTGATCACTTGTTTCCTTTTGATAGGTGAACTCTTCTATTCACACCTTGGCGAACCAGGTGGAGAGGAGCTCGAGGCAGGCACGAGCTGCCGAGGAGGCTGCTCGTGCTGCTGAGGAAGCTGCTCGCCTCGCGCGGTCTAGGCAGGCGAGGTCTCAAAGAGATGCTGAGGCTATGGGAGTGGTGGTGAAACATATGGCGGAATTGAAGCTGGACCTACAGCATCAGGTCGAGTATCTTCAGGAGGATATCAGGGAGAGGACTCAGATCTTCTCTCAAGGCATCGAAGATGCGAAGAAAGCTGTTAGTGATTATATTGCTTCGCCGGACTTCGATGATCTGATGGTGGACTCCTACAGGAGGGGTTTCAAGCTAAGCCGGTGGATGATTCGGAATACGTACCCCGAGCTCGACATCAACGCCATATCCACTTCGCGTATTACTCAGGAGATGGCCAACGCTGCGGATGGTGAACCGGACTCCAAGGGGGAGGCAAGGCCTTCGGGTATCGTCGAAGTGGCTTCTGATAACGAAGTAGCCCCGGACTTGTAAAAAATGAAATGTCCCCTCATTATCTGAAATGAACTGGCCTTTTGTACACCTCATTATCTGAAATGAAATGGCCTTTTTGTTTAAGTGTTGGTTGTCCTGTCTTCGAGCTGTGTTTTTTGCCGAACTGACTATTTCGGTCCTTTACTAGTTCGTTTTCTACCTCGGCTTCGGGGTACTTGCCTTGGCGGTCTATAGGTAGTATCGCCTTAGGTTGACAATGTTCCAT